TCTTGTTTTTTTTTCTATTTTTTTCTTTCTATTTTAATTTTTAAATGTTTTTTAGTTAGAAAATTACATTTATCAACTTTTGAATGCCTCCAAAGTAAGAATTTTTCAAATCAAATAAATTTTAAGTTAAAAATTTTTAACAGAGGATTTAAGCGTAAACGAGAAGATGGTGATGCTGAAGGAGAGGAACGTTTTGATGACGATGAAAATAGCCGTCTAACGCCTACAACCATTAAAAGTAAATTTTTAAAATGTTTGTTATCATGTTTTGCTGTTATATTTTTAAGGTAAAGACAAAGAAGCCGAACTTGCCTCTTCAAAATCGGCAAAAATTGCTGACCTAGATGAAGAAACTGCTGCAGTTCAACATTCTGACCATAACGGGAATGTTATTGAACAAACTCATTATATTGTAGTTCCTTCTTATGCTGCCTGGTTTGATTACAATGGAGTTCATCAAATTGAGAAACACGCTCATCCCGATTTTTTCAATGGACGAAATAAAAGCAAAACGCCTGAAACGTTGTTTTTATTTTTTCTAAGCTTTTTAATAGTTAATTTAGCTATATCGCTTACCGCAACTTTATGATAGACACTTACCGATTAAATCCTTTCGAATATTTGTCAGCAACTGGGTGTCGACGTAACTTGAGTGGAGATATTTCTTCGATTATTAGGTTTCTTTTTTTAATATTTTTTGTTGTTAATTATATTACCTGCCGCTTGTTTTTTATTTTTGTCTCAATGATTGTTAGCTGTTCTAACCGTGGCCCTGACTCTGTTCAGTGATACCTGGGGTCGCGTCTTGGCGGTTGACTTACCTTTGTTTAGATCGGGATTTTGGCCGTAACTTTGTCCTTGTTAACCGCATCCTAGCTTAGAGGGCTTGATTTACTGAGTTGACTTGCTAGGGGGTTGGATTGGGATTTTAAAATCAAAAAGTAGTCTTTTCTTACCTCACCTTCTCCTAACTATTAATTTTACTTTTTTTCTTTCCCAGAATTCACGAATTTCTTCAAAAATGGGGTCTTATAAATTACCAAGTTGATTCTGAAAGTCGCCCAGCACCTATAAGCGTCCCCCCAACTTCTCATTTTATGGTTTTGGCTGATACTCCATTTGGACTACAACCATTATCAACCATTAATACTGAAGCTAAACCAAGTCAACGTGTTCAACCTTTGCCTGTAGTTTCTGAAAATAAGGAAAGTGTTAAAGAAACTTTGAATAAAGAAGTTGTAGAAGGGGAAGAGTCAAAATCAAATTTAAAAGAAGAGGAGAAATTAAAGGAAGGAATTTCTAAAAAATTGGATTCAAAATTGTTGAATGAGCCAGGATTGAAAATTGATCAATATCAAAAGCAGCAGAGGGTAAGAAAAATATTTTTAAATCTAATTTACTAAAAAAATTTTTAGGGAAGAAGCGCCGTTAAAGAATGGACTCCTCAAGAAACGTTACTTTTATTGGAAGGATTAGAAATGTATAAAGACGATTGGAATCAGGTCTGATCTTTTTTTAATTTAAAAATAACCGTTTATGTTTAGGTTTCCGATCATGTTGGAACTCGCACACAAGATGAATGTGTTATGCATTTTTTACAATTACCCATACAAGATCCATTTTTGGAAGAAGAAATGAAGGGAGGAAAAGGAGGAGGGGAAATGTCAAATGTATTGGGTCCATTAGCATACCAACCTGTTCCATTCAGCCAATCAGGCAATCCTGTAATGTCAACAGTTTCTTTTTTGGCAAGTGTTGTTGATCCTAGAGTTGCTTCTGCTGCTGCAAAGGCTGCGTTAGGTTTGTGTATTTTTTAGGTAGAATTTCCACCGGAAGGGAATCGTGGGAGACTAAACCGCTCCAGAAGTCTATAACTTTGATATGCTTTAACTTTTTGATTTGGGTACTGTTGCCTTAGCCAAGAATTTGCAATAGAGATTTCGACTATGCTCTACCCTGATTATCATTTTTATTTAAAAATTTATAGTCACATTTCTGGGGGCTTTTTCAAGGATGATTTTATTCCTGAAAAAAATCCTGGTTACGGATCTGGTCCGAGTTGTTCCATTCTTACACCTCTTATATTTTTTCTTCCTATTTTATTTTACAGAGGAATACAGCAAAATGAAAGAAGATGTTCCTCCACTTTTAAATCAAGCACATGTAAAAAATGTTGAAGCCCATGCAAAAGAAAATAATGGAGAAATTGATACAAATATTGCACTTTCTACATTGGATGCTTCTTCAAAACAAGCAGTTTTTTTTTTATTTTTTCAAATTTTTTATGAAAATATTTTTTAGAATAAAGACGAATCCGAATCAGTCAAAGAAGCAAATGTACAAGAAAAAAATGAAGAAATGACTGAAACAAGTTCATCATCAAAAATTGATTTAAATAATGAACAAAAACAGACTGAACAACAAGAAAAGATTTCCGAATCAAAAAATAAAGAATCCAGTATGTCTGAAAATATTCAAGTTGCAGCAGCTACAGCATTGGGAGCAGCAGCTGCAAAAGCAAAATATTTGGCTGGTGTAGAAGAAAGGAGAATGAAAGGATTGGTTGCTCAATTAGTTGAAACGCAGATGAAAAAGGTTTTTGAACTAGAAATTGGACATTTGGGGGGAGGGGGTCGTGCGAGGGACGGGGGACGTTCAAGAAATCTCGGGAAAAATTGTCATTCTCGCCACAATCCAGTCTCTAGTTTGAACAATTTAAAGGATTTAAAATTTAATTTTTTTCTCTTTATTTTAGTTGGAATTGAAATTAAAACATTTTGAAGAGTTGGAACAAATAATGGACAAAGAACGTGAAACTGTAAATTTTTATATTTTTCAAATTTTTTATAAATTTTTAATAAAAATTCTAGTTGGAAGCACAACGTCAACAGTTAATCACAGAACGTCAAGCTTTCCATTTGGATCAACTTCGCTATTTGGAACAAAGAGCTAAAGCAGATAAACACCATCAATTAGCTTCTGAAGGCAAAATTCCGGCTACTTTACCTCCAGGATTTGAGGTAGAAAAAAAATTTTTTAAATAAATTTTAACCTCCGTTTTTTAAAAAGGTTGGAGTTCCTTCGCAACCCCAACCAATATTTCCACCTCAAAATATTGTTACTCAACAACGACAACAAGTAGCGCATGTTCCTCCACCTGAGGAACAAAATATTGAAGGTTTTTCAATTTTTAAAAAAATTTTTATCGAACGATTTTTAGGCGATACTGCTGCTGCTTTTCAATCAAAATATCAGCAAGGAACTTCCCAAGCTTCACAACCTTTAAGATCCCCGGCTGTTCCAACTCCTTCACCAAGACAGGCAGCATATTCTGCAACACAACAACAACATTCTGCTACGGATTCTTCAAAATTAAATAATATCAACAAGAATCAACAAACACAACAGCAAACTCAAATGGCTCCTCAAGCGAATATTCCAAGTTTGTGAATTTTGATAAAATGTCTTCTCCATTTAAGAGGGAGCAGGACAGGATACAGCAGAGTTTTAACTAGCAATAAGCTCAAAATTCTTGGAGCAAATCGTTTTTAGTATCACGCCAAAATCGACTTGCTGTCGAATCATGCCAAAATTCACTAGACTTCACTTGACTTGATTCTAAGTGTAAGCCTAGTTATAACTAGATTGGGCTGTTGTTTCGGGTTTATTACTATTTTAAGATAACTTTTTAGTTCAACTTTTAAATAATTTTTTAGCCGCCCAAGGTCAGCCAATTCCTTCTGATTACTATGCTTCTCAACAACAACAACCGGCAGGAACACAAGTTCCTCCTTATAACCAACAACCACCTTCACAACAACAATTTATGCCACCACAACATCCTCAATATCAACAACAAGGATATCCACAACCTGGACAACCGCAACAACAACCTCAATATTATGGACCACGTGGAGGAGTTGCTCCTTCACCACAATCGTATTATCCACAACAAATGCCGCAACAGCAACAACGTCCACCAATGTCTGGTTATCCTGGCCAAGCTGTATTTCTTAGTTAAAAAAATTTTTTAAAATTTTCTATTAGTATGATTACCAATACCAAACACAAAATGCACAGCGTCAACAACTTCCACCACAACAGCAACAACAATATTCACCTTATGGACAGCAACAACAACAACAAGTTTCTGCTTATCCATCAACTGGAGGACAACAACCAGTATATTTTTTTAAAAAGTTTTTTTTGAATTTTTTTAAATTTTTTTAAAGTATTATCCTCAATCATCACAACATCCACAAGCCCAAACAAGTACTCAACAACAGCAACAACAACAACCTATGACTGATATACAACAACAAGCACAACAGGCTGCAGCTGATCCAACAAGTGCGACACCTCCAATGCATCAAGGTTAATTTTTAAGTTTTTATGGCTGGGCAATTGAGGCTCGGTAATGAGCTTGATCGGTTTACTCTTTTTAAAAATTTTTTTTTTAATTTATTTTTAATTTTGTAGAAGCAAACAAGGATTGATGAAAATAATGCCAGAAATTTGAATTGAATGGAAGAATTTAAAAAATTGATTGGTTAAAAATAATTATTTTTTTGGGGAGGGGAAAGGAAACTTAACATCTCATAAATTTCGATTGACTTTATTTTGCGAATTTATTATTTTTTGGCTATTGTCTAGTTTATAGGTAGTAAGGAAATTTTTATGAGGACCTAAGAAAAATTTATGATGCCACCAAAAACTTACAAGTCCAAACACACTTTTTATACTCATTGACGACAACTTCGGCTTCAGATGAGTTGTGACCACGACAAATGTATTCAAAAAAATTTTTGAATTTTGTTTTTAAATTTGTGTTTGGACTCATAAACTAGACTAAAGCCTTTCTTATTAAATTGAATGAATAAAGAGATGTGTTGCTAAAAAATAATTTTTTATATATATTTTTGGTTTTTTCCATTTAAAATTTTTTTTTAAAAACAAAATTGTTAACCTCTTTTTTTTAATTATTTTTTTAAATAAACAAAATGTCAAATGAATTTGATGAAAATATTCCTTCAACATCATCTGCAACTTTTTTACAAAATAATGATGTAATTGAAAATTGTGTATTGGAAAGTGATGAAGCTGAAGGTTCTGAGGAATATTTAACTCCTGCTGATGCAAGTTTATTTTTTTATGTTTTTTGGGGGATTTTTTGGGACAATTTCTGTCATCCTACTTTTGAGGATGGACTTAAGACTAAATGTCCGCCTGTTGATTTATAGTTGACACATGCTCACTGGGTCTTGAATAATAGTCAAAGTTGAGCCTGATGTGAGTTTCGATAATTTTTCATGATATCTAGGCTCGTTCCCATTTTAGACTTACCATTCAAGGCTGGACGCAATTGCGGTTTGCGTGTTTATTTTTACTTGCGGCTGCGGAAAATTATTTTTTTTTCAATTGCGTCCACCTCTGTTACCACTCCTATAGTTTTGCTTTTTTTAGTTTTATAGTCTTATAGTCCATTTTCTGTTTGCTTCATATGGGTAGGAGGATGGGGGTAAACTTTTTCTTGAATATTTCTAAGTACTCTTTTTAAATTAAAAAAAAATTATTTTTTAGGTTCTCAAAGAATTAACACAAGCATTTTTAAACGAATCTGCTTCCCCCAAACTTTTACCAGAAAAACTTGATTTGGTTGATAAAATGCTTTTACAAAAAAATTTAATTGAAAGAATAATGGAAAGAAATCCAAATAAAAAAAGTTTGGCTTGTTCATTACACAAAATGGAGCTTTGCAGAATTGAATATTTAATTAATTCTTATTTGAGGTTTATTTTATTTATTTTTTTGAAATTTTTTTGAATTAAAAGAATTTTTTTGAAATTAAAAAAAAATTTTTTTTTGGATTTTTCCATAATTCCAATTTATTTTTTGAAATTATTTTTTATTTTTATTATTTTTTAAATTTTTTTAGAAATTTTTTTTAATTTCAAAAAATTTTTTAAATTCATTTTTTTTTATTCATTCCTGAATTTAAAAAATATATTTATTTAATTTCAGATTACGCCTTCAAAAAATCGAACAAAATCCAGCCCAATCATTACAAGACCATTCAGAACGCTTAAAAAATGCTTTAGCCAAATACAAAGCTGGAAATGTTGATTCTTCTTTACAGGCAGAATTATTGGATGTTCGAGAATTAAAATTTGCTCAAAAATTGTTACAAGCAAATTCAACCCTTTTTGAAGATTCTTTTCTTAAACAAATACCTGCTAGCATGAAATGGTTACCTATTGTTTCAAACAATTCTGAAACTGATTCAACGCGTGTGTTTATTGAAGTATTAAAAGATGGGGTAAGTAAAATACAAAAAATATATATTAAAAAGTCTTCCGGAAATGTGTATTTTATTTAATGAAAATACATTTCCGGAAAATACATCGAGGAAATATTAAAATAAACACTCCGGAAATGTATGTATTTTCTTCCGGAAAATACATCAAAAGAAAGTTTTCCGGAAATGTGTATTTTATTTAATGAAAATACATTTCCGGAAAATACATCAATGAAATATAACATTTCCGGAAATATTCCAATGTTTCCGGAAATGTATTTTTTGAAAATACCAGGAAAATACAACTGATAAACTTTTCCGGAAATATAACCGGAAAATACAACAAATAAAGCTTTTCGGAAATAAATATTAAAATGTAGGTTGGTGTTTCCGGAAAGTATTTTTTCATTTAATATATAACGGAAAATACATTCCGGAAAGTTATGTATAAGCGGTTTTAAAGAATGTATTTTTCCGGAAAATAATTTTCTTTCTCTCGTTTCTTTTTTATAAAACAACTTTTCATTTTTATTTATTTTTAGTTGGAAGACATTCCTATACCTAACATGGCTGATCCAAACTCAGAAATTTTTTTGAAGTTAGAACAAGGAAGTCGACATTTTGTGCCTTTCAATTGTATTAAACATTTATTAGAACGTTCAGAAATTTGTCTACTTTAGAATACCAAAGATGCCTTTTTTTTTTTCCTTTTATGTATCAAATTGTATTTTTATTTTAGAACTTTATTTTGTCTTATTTTCACAACAACAAGTAAATTATAAAAATATTTTTTACTCCAAAATGTACTAGGCTTCCAACCACACCAACCCCCAGCCGAAATATCTTCAATATTGCTATTTCCAGTATAATGAGGATCTAATACTAAATATTGACAGTTACTAAGTCAGGGATTGTAATAAATTCCAATTATTGTATGGGCAAGTTGTAATACGTACAAAATGCTGAGATCTACTTAAAACAAAAATGAAGGGGGTTCCGCGGTAACCCCCCGATCCAAAAATTATTCTCTTATATTTTGTGAAATTCAAAGTTGTCACAAACCCCTCAACTTAAGTAAAATAATTAATATAATTTTTCATATTAAGTAAAATTTTCCCTCTTTTTATAGTAAAATTAGAGAAGAAATCTTTTCATTATTTTAAAATTAAAAATTTTGACTATATTTAATATTTGACTAGTCCAATAAACAAATAAACACAATATTGACCCCCCCCCCCCATTTTCCTCTGTCTTACCTTAAGCAAACAAAAATTAAAGTCGAAATAAAACATTTTTTCTGTTTGTCCTTACCTTCCCGTTGCAATTTCGGTCAGTCGTTGACCGTTGGACTGTTTATTTTTACAATCAGTTTTAATTTTTGTTTGTCTTTTATTTTTAAATATTTTTAAATCGAGAAAAGGAATGCGTGTTTTCCTCTTAAATTATTTAGAGTTTTTCTTTTTTTATTTTTACTACGTTTATAAAGTCTTATTTTTAGTTATGAATAGAGTTGTTGGTTCAGAACGAATACCCATTAAATGGTGAGGATAGGTTACTATTTGTGTTTAATTTTTGTGTTTTCCGGAAATGTATTTTCCGGAAAATGATTTTAGTTGTAACTGTCTCCTTTGTGTTTTCCGGAAAATATTTAATTTTTCCGGAATATATTAATTCTTTTTCCGGAAAAGTGTATCACTCTCCTTTTTAATTTTTTGTGTTTTTCGGAAATGTATTTTTTCGGAAAATGATTTTAGTTGTAACTATCTACTTTGTGTTTTCCGGAAAATATTTAATAAATAATTTTCTTTCCGGAAAAGTGTATCACTCTCCTTTTTAATTTTTGTGTTTTCCGGAAAAGTATTTTTTCGGAATTACACTTATTTTCGAACCTACAATCCTATGGTACATGAGACACCTTGTCTTTAATTAATTTTTTAAACTCCTTTAAAGCCGAATTTTAATTTTCCATATTTTTCTAATATTTTTTTTCATTTTTTTCTCCTCCACTGACCCATTTTTTATTCGTTTTCAGTTTTCCCCTCCATCTCGAGACTTCACCTTTTATAAAACAATAAATATTGTTGCATGGCTTGAGGGTCGTTTACCTCTGCGCGAATTAATTTTTCCCTCATATCCTTCCTCTTCTGTTCGCGTTCATGCCGTTTATAATATCATTTGCGCATCCCTCTAACTCCCCAAAACTGCTTTTTCCTTTTTTATTTTTAATCGATCGCTTTCAATATAAAAATTATTTTTTGATCGAAAAGTGTCCTTATAAGAGAAATTTTTTTATTTTTTGAAAATTTTTTGAAAAAAAAATTTTAATTAATTTTTTATACCCCTCAGAATGACTACTAAACCAACTACAAATTCATCAATTTCCTCAATTTCTTCCTCTTCCTGTCCTTCCACATTTTCCTCCATTTATTCAACATCTACACACTTACCTGTAATTAACCCAAAAACAAAAAATAATTCCTCTTCAATTTCCGCCTTAAATGAAAATTCTTATTATTCACAACAAAAGACACAAACACCCTCACAAACAACTTCAAAACAATTTAATTCCTCTGGTTATTTATACAGAAATTCCTGGGCAAACCTTTTAACAGATATTGGGGAGAATAAAACACACAACAAGTTGGTAAACAACAAAAACACAAATAAAATAAAATCAGAATTTTCTTTCCGGAAAGGTATGTGTTTTATGTATTTTTTAAACATGTATTTTTATGTATTTTATGTGTTTTCAGGAAATGTATTACATATTTTATTTCTTCCGGAAAAGTATCCTTTCCTTGTTTAATTTTTGTGTTTTCCGGAAAAATAATTTTATGTATTTTCTGTAAATTGTCTCCTTTATGTATTTTCCGGAAAGGTTTAATAAATAATTTTCTTCCGGAAAGATATCTCTCTCCTTTTATAATGTATGTATTTTCCGGAAAATTATGTATTTTCTGTAAACAATTTATAATTTACGTATTTTCTCCCTTGTGTTTTCTTTCCGGAAAAACATCTCTCCCTTTGTAGTATTTTTTGTATTTTCCGGAAAAATTATGTATTTTCTGTGAATATTTTTATAAGCTATTTTTTCTTGTGTTTTTAATAAATATTTTTCATTCCGGAAAAGTATCCCTCTCCCTTTTTGTATTTTCCGGAAAGTATTTTTCCTTAATTTAATTTTCTCTCAGCTTTTAATTGGATAAAATTTCCTTGGCAAAATACCCAACCAACTTCCTCAAATATTAACAATAATAATATATTCCCACCACCTCCACCTTATGAAGAAAGAATACACAAACAAATATACAATAATAATTATTTAAAAAATCAGAATTTTGGAATTTATGGGGGAAGGAATGGAGAGGATATTTATAACTACAGTTGCGGGCAAAATGTATGAATTTTTTGGAATTTTTGAAAATTAAAAAAATTTTTTTCTTGAATTTTTTAAAGTAAAAATTTTTTAAAGTAAAAATTATTAAAAAAAACAAAAAATTTTTCTAAATTTTTAATATTTTTTACAATTTTTAGAGCACCAACCCAATTATCTACTCTTCTAGGCCCGCACCTTTCCCCTTATTAGCACAACCAAAAACAACAACACGGTCTTCATCTGTTCAGAGTTCTATTCCAAGTAGTGTTGGACAACAACAAAATCGTTTACTATCTCTTAGACAGCCTAGTGGAAATGAGAAAATTAAAAGAAATCGAATGCAGGTAATTTTTAAATTTTTGGGAGAAAATTTTTTGAGTTTTTTGGTTGAAAATCATTTTAAAAAATTTTTAGAGGCCTAAAATTTAATTTAAAAATTTTATTTTATCATTTTTTGTAGTTACTAACCTAAAAAATATAAAATATCAACGAACGGACTCGAACCCACGACCCTTTTTTCAAGGGGCAATTTTGTAGTCTGCGCCTTTACCCACTCTACCAAAATCACAAAATTTTTTGAAATTTCGATTTCTTTCTCCCCTTTTATTTTTTTAAAATTTCTTAGATTAAAAAAATTTTTTATTTTAAATTTAAAAAAAGGAACTACGCGAATTTTGGAACAACAAGTCTTCATGTAGAATTTTTTGTCTAGCAATTTTGTTACTAATTATAATTGCTTTAATTGTTGCTGGTAGGCTAGAAAAAAATTTTTTTTTGAAAATTAAAAAATTTTTTAGGTCTTGTAAGCAGTCATTTAAGCCTTCCAAAAGTATTTTTATTTCAAAAATATTTTAAAATTCCCTCCCTCTTTTCAGCATTTTGAATTTATTTGGATAACCCCAGAACAGTCCCGCTTTGGAACAGACCAATTAATTACGTCAATCCATGGCCGTTTAGATGTGGGAAAATTGGGGAAACAGGCACGACTAGAACTGACTGGAACTCCTCCTTTTCGTTCCAACTTTGTTTCTATTTTGGATTTTAAAACGGTTTGATTTTTTTAATTTTTAAGGGATTTATATTTGCGGACAAATTTTGCGGACAAATAAAAGATGTCCGCAAGATTTGTAATTTTTTGTTCGCATTTTTTTGTCCGCAAAATTTGTCCGCAAAATTTATCCGCAATATTTTTTTTGTCCGCAAAATCAGTCCGCAATTTTTTGTCCGCAAAATTTGTTCGCAAAATCTGTCCGCAATTTTTTGTCCGCAAATTCTGTCCGCAAAATTTGTCCGCAAAATCTGTCCGCAATTTTTTGTCCGCAAGATCTGTCCGCAATTTTTTTTTGTCCGCAAAATTTGTCCGCATTTCTTTTGTCCGCAATTTTTTCTTTTCACTTTCAGAATCGTGTAGCAATAATGGACATGTCTTTACGTTCAGGGAATTCGCAACAACAAAAACAACAAAATCGTTATATGCTTGTTTGCTTCGTTGTTGATTTGGATAGACAAAATATTGGGGATTTGGATGAATTGTTAAAATCTGCAAAAGTTGGGGCTAATGTATTTTTTCTTAATTTTTTTTATTAAATTATTTTTATTTTATTTTTAGAGATTAAATCAACTTCATGGATGGGAGCAGAATTGGCAATTTACTGGTATTCCTCTTAGCCAACCACCTTTGTTTGAGCCGGAGGTTTTTTTCTGAATTAATTTTGAGATAATGGGATACTCCCCATAAGAGACCTATATTTGGGATACCCTCTATTTAACAGACATCTCATTATAAGAGATACCTTCTATTTAAGATACCCCTATTATAGGCTACAATTCCCGCCCTCCTCCCCGTCCGTTACAAGAGATATACCTCTATTTGAGATACCCTCCATTTAACGTACATCTCATTATAAGAACCTTCTACTTAAGAGACCCCCATTATAAGCTACAATTCCCGCCCCCCTCCCCGTCCGTTACAAGATGTATCCTCTATTTGGGATACCCTCTATTTAACAGACATCCATTATAAGAGATACCCTCTATTTAAGATACTCCCATTATAAGCTACAAATTTCCCCACTAGAGAGCTAAACTGATGTGATGTTAATTTTAATTTTTAACAGATAGGCGAATGCAAAGATGCTCGTTGGGTACATTTATCCAAAATTAATGGAGATCAGAAAAATCAAAAATGCAGTGAATGCTTTGATTTTTGCTTGCCTGATTGGGGAATACAAAAAGATGGTTTCCTTTAAAAAAATTTTTTTTTCTTTTTAATTTCCCCCCCCCCCTTTTATTTAAAGTTGTTCGTGACGAGAATTATTTAAACATTCTTCGACAAATTTGTTTTTCCTTGTTTATTCCCGAATGGAGACCATTTGCTCAACAAGCACCTCTTGGGGGTCAACAAAGAGGACAAACGATAGATTTATTGTACAACCAACAACAACCAAATAATAATAAAATTGATGAGAGTAAAGCTACATTAAATAATGGACCGACCGAGACAAAGTGGATATCTCTTCAAACACCACGTATGTAAAAGAGAGGTTTTAAAATTAAAAAAAATTATTTAATAATGTAAAATCATTTGAAATGTAGAGAAACAATGGGGGAATTTGACAGTGGTCATGGTCATAATTTTTTTATTTTTTTAATAGTTTTTTTTTTATTTTTTCACGGCCATTTCACCATTGTCATGGTCAATAGAGATCGGAAATTTTGAAAAGCCTGGACCTGTTCCTGGACTATGGAGTTTGATTTCTTGACCTGGACTGGATCCTGGGCCTGTAGTCCCCAGGAAAAACCCAGGAAGGTCAAAAAATGCCTGGACTCTGGGTACAGGAAAAACCCAGGCTTGGTCCAGACCCAGTTCGATCTCTAATGGTCAGCAACAATGGTCATTTTTATTTTTGCCAATTTTAATTTTGACCATTTTTGGGTTCTAATATTTTGTTTTATGACCATTTTTATTTTTAAAATAATTCCAAAAATAAATTCTCTTATCAAAATTTTTTTTTCAGAAAATAATGGCCTTATGGTTGACCAAAATCGTCTACTACCTTCATTACCCAACTCTCAATACTCTTCACCCCTTCAATTTCCACCAAATCAGGAACAATTTTCTCCAATTACCGGCCAGGCTCCTTCAGTTAATTTAATGTCAAGGAATGAGGGTTATAATGAAGAAGGTAGAAGACAATTAACAACATGGCCTTTTATTGGAGAAAGAAATCAAAAAAGCAGCGAAATGTTGCTACCCAATGGAAGGCAACAAAATTCTGGTATTCGACAACTTTGGTGGACTTGAATAGGTAAAAATACAATTTTTTAAATTATTTATAAGGCAAAAACACTTTTAAAAATACATTTCTGCTATTTCCGGAATGTTTGTATTTTTGTTTTAATTCTAATGTATTTTCTGTATTTTCCGGAAATGTATTTTTATTTTGGTTCTTCCGGAAAAATGTGTTTTCTCAAAATACAAAAATAATTCTGATATTTCCGGAAATGTATTTTCGTTTTAATTCTGATTTTCCGTCTGTATTTTCCGGAAATGTATTTTTAATTTTTATTCTTCTGGAAAATGTGTTTTCCCAAAATACAAAAATAATTCCGACTTTTCCGGAAAGCTTGTGTTTTATTTCCGGAAATGTATTTTTAATTTGAGTTCTTCCGGAAAATGTGTTTTCCGGGAAAATGTGTTTTCTCACAATACAAAAATAATTCTGCCTTTTCAGGAAAGTTTGTATTTTATTTCTGATTCTCCCTTTAATTTACCCTTTCCGGAAATGTATTTTTACTTTTTATTCTTCCGGAAAATGTGTTTTCTCAAAATACAAAAATAATTCTGATTTTTCCAGAATTTTATTTTCCCTATTTAAATGTGTTTTCCCTCAAGTTTTGTATTTTTTCCGGAAAATGTCTATCTAACAGAAAACACCTATTTATTTTATACAAGGCAAAAACACAACAATATATAGAGACAATACAAACATATTATAGAAAACATAGCGAAACACAAAATTATTTATTTATCTATTTATCGATGATTGTGTTTGTCTTCTTTTATCCCTCACGTATTCTTTGTTGCCGTCTTCCTTTCGTCTTGTTTCCTTCTTACTTTGATAACACCTTGACGAGCAGAACGACGAAGCCAATACAACAAGCACAGCAGCAACAAAATCCGATAAGGACCAACACAAAACCAAGTTCAGCAGCTGCTTCTTCTTCCGGAGTGAGTTTCTTAGTGCGGTAGCTGCCTCCAGCCAGATTTTGGAGTCCATGCGCTGCGTTGACCAACTAAAATGGGAGAGAAAAAACATTAATTTTAGATTAGTCAATTTTCATTATTACAAATCCTTCCGGCGGTTCTTCCTGCGGAGTTGCGCTGGTTGCGGCTTTGGTGGTTGTAGTTGTTGTGGTTGCTTCCTCAGCTGTCGGAGGGTCAGTAGTCAGCAAAGCATCCTTAAATTAAAAAAAGAACATTTTCTTTATTAAAAGAGCTAATCCTCTCTCTCACCTTTCCTCCCTCCGAAGCCTTGGAAACATCATCCCCCTCCATGTCGAGCTTGATGTTGATTCCCTCAGTGTTGACTTGTTCAATCAGCAGCAGAAGAAACACGACGGAGAGCAGCGACACAGCGTTGATGAGCATTGCTTGCTTCTTCCACGGCTTGTTGAAGACGAACATTTTGTTGTTGTAGACGATGGTGGTGGTGGTGGTGAAGATTGTTTTTGTTGGCGAGTGTTTGTGTTGAGGAAAATTTTGTTTTTATAGTAGTTTTTATTCTTTTGTTCTTTCGTACCACATATAAAAACAAAAATTTTCCTCAACACAACCACTCTTCAAACAACAAACAATCAACACCACCACCACCATCGTCTACAACAACAACAAAATGTTCGTCTTCAACAAGCCGTGGAAGAAGCAAGCAATGCTCATCAACGCTGTGTCGCTGCTCTCCGTTGTCTTTCTTCTGCTGCTGATTGAACAAGTCAACACTGAGGGAATCAACATCAAGCTCGACATGGAGGGGGATGATGTTCCCACGGCTTCGGAGGGAGAGAAGGTGAGAGAGAGAGAGAATTATCTCTTTGAATAAAAAAATGTTCTTTTTTTAATTTAAGGATGCTTTGTTGACTACTGACCCTCCGACTACGACCACTGAGGATACAACCACCAAAGCCGCAACCAGCGCAACTCTGAAGAAGGAAGCGCCGCGGAGGGGAATGGTAAAATAATAAAAATTGACCAATCTAAAGTTAATGTTTTTTCTCTCTCTCATTTTAGTTTGCCAACGCCATGAATGGATTCGAAAATCTGGCTCGACGCCGCAGCTACGAAGACCTCACTCCGAAAGAACGAAAAGAAATGAAGGAGGCTGCACCGTTTGTGATTGTCTTCTTCGTAATCATAATCTGTTGTTGCTGTGCTTGTATTGTCGGCGTTGTCGCTTTAACCATCAAGGCAGTATCAAAGAAGGAAACAAGACCAAAGGAAGTCGGCAACAAAGAATATGTTTGTGAGGGATAAAAGAAGACACACAATCATCGATAAATAGATAAATAAATAATTTTGTGTTTCGCTATGTTTTCTATAATATGTTTGTATTGTCTCTATATATTGTTGTGTTTTTGCCTTGTATAAAATAAATAGGTGTTTTCTGTTAGATAAACATTTTCCGGAAAAAATACAAAACTTGAGGGAAAACACATAAAAATAGGGAAATTAAGAATCAGAAATAAAATTCCGGAAAAATCAGAATTATTCTGTGTTGCGAAAATACATGTTTTCCGGAAGAATAAAAATTAAAAATACATTTTCCGTAAAGGAAAAATACATTTCCGGAAAGGGTAAATTAAAGGGGGAATCAGATATAAAACAAGCTTTCCGGAAAAGTCAGAATTATTTTTGTATTTTGAGAAAACACATTTTTCCGGAAGAATCAAAGTAAAAATGCATTTCAGCAAGAACCAAAAAATACATTCCCGGAAATCTGTGTTTTACTTTTAAGATGACTTGGTATTCGCAAGCCAGACCAACATGGTTAGTGCTCCCTATAAAAGTGCAAACACGACAAAATGCCTCCTAGTTGTAAACACGACAAAACGCCACAGAATAAAACACGACAAAACGCCTCCTCCCCCAGAATTAACGTATTTGTATTTTTATATATTTTTCAATATAAAAAACAAAATTTTCTTTAAATAAATAAAAATAATACAATTTATATTTCATATTCCCCAACTTTTTTCTTCAAAAATTCTTCCAAATTTCTTTTTGAAAGACAATTAATTCCAAAATTTGCATTTGTAAATATTTTGACATTATTTCCATTTTCTGAATTTATTATCAAATTTAAAGCAATTTTTAATTGACAATAAATATATGCAAAATGAATAGATTCTGATGATTGTTGTTGTAATAATAAGCCTAATTCGTTTGGTTGTAAATTTGAAGTTAACCTTTTGAAGTGAAATTAAATTTTATTTACTTTTGGTAAATTTATTTATAAATAGTGGTGGGGGATCTTTGGTTAACCAAAACTGAACTTTTTCGGTTCTGTTTGAAACCGACAACCCCATGTTTGAGCATATCTCCCAGACCCATTGACCAATAAAACTATAGTTGGATCTCGCTTATGTGACACTAAGTTATATCTCTCCATACAAAATGTATGGACACTCAAGGGTATGATGTAAGGTAAACATATGAGCGTACGATCAAACGAGATTCGACTCTATAGCAAGGGGTCGTATCCGCGAGTCAGATTTCAAGGAGGCTATTAATGAACCGAACACAAATTTTTTGTATGTATATATTTTTTAAAAATTCCCTAGCCCTCTAGTTTTAGCGGTAAAAACCGTTAGAGTAATCTAAATTTTCTTTATAAAAACCCCAACAAACCAACCATCTATATCTAATCTCCAAATCCCGCAATCTCTCATTTTGTTCCAAAACAGAATTATTTTGAGTATCTGTTGTTGTTGAAGTTGTTTCACCCATTATATCAGTCCCCTCTGGTTTATCTTTAAAATTTTTTTTTAATTTTTTAAAAAAGAAAACCTCTCAATTTTTCTTCTTTTTGTTCATTAGCAATTCTTTCAAAAATCCATTTAAATAAATCCAATTGATTTTTATTTAATTTATTTTTGTCAAAATTAATTTCGGCGACTTCCTTGAATTTTTGAGTATTTAATTTTGGTGATCTAAATTTGGAAAAAATATTTAAAAATTTAATCCTAAAAAATTGAAAATATTTTGGAGACACCCAAAAGATCACCACAAAATAAATTTAAAAATAGTGGGGGGTGCCCCCAATTTAAAAAAAAATAAATCAAAAATTAAACAAACCTCATATTTTTATTATTATTAAAATTAAATTCTCCATCAAAAAATAATTGTAAAATTGATAAAGCACGATGAGAACCCAATTCAGCAGCCATTTGATGAATTAATAAATCTAAAGTTTGTTGAGTATTGTCTAACGATAAATTGAGAAATGTTGAACTCCAACGAATATAAACTTGTCTAAAATTTGGAAAAAAAAATTTTTAATTTAAAAATAGTCTCAAAATAAATATTTAAATAGTCACAATCTTCAAAAATATTTTTTGAAGTTTTTACAACTGGAGGGTTCGAACCCACACCCCCTTAATAGACAAATCCTAACACTAAACCACTACACCAAAAAAATTTAATTTTTGTTCAAAAATTAGTTAAAATAATTATGGAATAAATTAAGCATCAAATAAAAAAATTTTCCGACCAGAGGGGTTCGAACCCACAACCCCACTAATAACTAAAACCCAACACTTACCCACTAAACCAAAAAACTTTTAAAAAAATTTTAAATAACCTAAAAATTTCAGCTTGTCCCAACGTTAGGCCAACATTTTTCTTTTCACAAATAAATTGTAAAAATTTATACAAATATTGAGAAAATTCCCAATTTTCATTTTTTGATGCTTCCACAAATGCTTCTATTAATGGATTAAAATTAGGCAAATCTTCTATCCATCTATAATTAATTAAAGGGTCAAGAGTTCTGTTTTGTAAAGAATTATTTGCTAGCCTCATTAATTTTGTGAACTGAAAAAAATAAAAAAAATATTAAAATAAAATAAATCTTTGACATTTCGCATCTTTCCCTAGATGGGACCCAAAAAAGGAGCTCAATAAAAAAATAATAGACCCCTCTCTAATAAAAAGCCACAAAAAATTTTTTAAGAAGGTCAAAAGAATACAGACAATGAATTTTTATTTTTTGTCTAAAAGGGCAATAAAAAAAATAAAATTAAAAATAAACCGTACATTCCAAGCCCAAGATTCAGCAATATTAAAATATTTAGGACTATTTTGAACTCTTTCAGAACGACGCAATAAAGCAGAATTTTCATTTTGTTCTCTATAAGGTTGATGTTGAGATCTTTTTTGGTAGTATTTTTCTTTTAATTTTGTCTAAAAAATATTTTTTTAAATTTATTTTAATGATTTAAAATAAATATAAAAATAAATTTCCGGAGAGGGTTCGAACCCACATCCCCCTGAAACAATAATCTAACGTCTACACCACTACACCACAAATTTTAAATCTTGTTCAAAAATTAATTAAAAGGCATTTTAAAAATCACTAAAACAAAAACAAAAAAATTCTCCTCGCGAGGGTTCGAACCCACACCCTTTAACAACCCAAAACTAACGACTTTACCACTACACCAAAAGACCATTTATAGAAAAAAATAAAAAAACCTTTTCAGCCCAATTTAATATTCTTTTTCTATTTAATTTAATTAATTTATTACTTCCATTAAAATATTCATCTTTTGATTTATTATTATTTGATTGTTTTTCTTCAATGATTTCAATATCTGATGAAAACGTTGTGCTTAATTGTTCATTTTCTGATGTTGTAGTTACTTCTGGTTGTTGTTCTAGTGTTGTTGTTGATTTTTCTTGAAAATAAAAATTATTTTTAATGAAAATTCTTATTTTATGGACAGTTGAGTCTGAGAAGTTTTCAAAGAGTCGAGAATTTTTTACAAAAAAAATCAACACAATCAGTCTTTTGTCCTTGTTAATCCCTCCCTACTATCAGTTCTCTTGTCCTTGTCTTTTTTCTTTTTTGTCCTATTTTTGTCCTTTTTGGCCTTATAATCTCCCCTACTAGGAGTATATTTACCCAAATTGCAAAAATTATTATAGAAAAAAACCACAATTTGTCAGACCCCAATACACTCAAAATTTTAAAATTTAATTAACCTCTCAAAGCCCCATTACACTTTTCTTTTGTAACATTTTTCGAAATATTATGGACATTATTATCAGTTTGAACTTCATCTATTTGCATTAAATTGTCTTGTTGTTGTTGAGCTTCTTGAGTATTATTGCTATTTGTAGTATTATCCATATAAAAAATTATTTTTTGTTCAGCAAACTGAAAATTGAAAAAAAATTTGTCAAAAATCCACTAGTTAAAAACAAAAATAATTTTGATAAAATAAAAATAGTTAAAAATAATCAAAAATAAAAATTTTTCACATTGGTATGTTCGAAACACGAACAGACTACCCCCAGCCAATATTGTTTTTTAAACCAAAAATAAGGAAAAGAAAAGAAAAATCCTAGATTTAGTCCCATTTTGTTCCCTCATCAATAAAAAATATTAAAAAAATAAAAAAAACTAACTGAGGAAAATTGTTCAATTCTGTCAAATATATTACACAAACAAATTCCAATGTCTTCCATTCTTAAAAAAATTTTCAAAATTTTTAATAAAAAAATAAACCTCATATCATTCCTCAATTTAATTTTTAAAGGAGCAAATTTAGGCAATAATTTGTTTAAAACACTTGAAAAAAGACCAAATTGAGTAGAATTATTTGAGTTATTTGTTTTAATTAATTGTTCAAATTTATTGAGAATATGGCGAAACTGTTTTTTAAAAAATCAAAAATTAAGAGAAATTTTATTGGCAATTTTATAGTTAGGAAAGAAATGGAAATGGTTTTTGAAGCAAAAACAATACCAAAAATTATTCTTAAAAAACAAAGAAAATCTCAGGAAAAGGGGTTGAAATCTAGCAAAAATTCTCCAAAAATTCAAAAAAAAAACCCAAAAGTTCTAAAAGTGTCCAGAAAATAAAGTACACATAAATACACTCAAAAATAATTAAAAAACATTTTTTCCCACTGGCGGGTTCGAACCTTCGACCCCAAAATATCAAAAACCCAGTTTTCCCACTACACCAAAAATAATAAAAAAAGGAAAAAATTGAGAATGTTGAGAGGATTTTAAAACAAAAATTAAATTTTAAAGAATTTCAGTTAAAATAGAGAACATAAAAAAATTTTTTGTTTAAATTAACAGAAAAAAACCTTGTATTCCTCAATCTTTATTTCCTCATCTTTTTTAAGATTTTTGTTTGACAAAAATTCTTTCCAAAGAGGAAAACTTTTTGATATAAATGAATGAATAAATAAACCAAATTCGTGTTTTGGATAAATATTGAATAATTTATTGAGTGTAAATGTACATTCTAGAAATTTAAAAAATTACAGAAAAATTTTTTTAAGATTTTTTAAAATTTTCAAAAAAAAAAATAAAAAAGTAAACAGTTTTTAAAAATTAAATAAAGTCGGCTTTCTATTTATCTTTCATAAAAATAAAAAATTTTTAAAAAATAAAAAAAAAATTTCCAAACAGTGGGGCTCGAACCCGCGACCTTCAAAAAATAAAAACACAACACTTTCCCACTGAACCAAAAAAAATTTTTTTTGCCACAAAATTAGTTTTCCCACCCAATCCCATTAAATGGTCACTAAATTAAAAAAATTTTTACCAAGAAAATTTTGTTCACAAAAATTAACCAAAATTAAAGCTTCCAATTTACGTATATCATCATCACAATGTCCAAAACAAAAACGGGCAGAACGCCAATCTTTTTGTTTTGAAGCTGTTATGCCAGCAAGAAACCATAAATCTTTCAATTCTGGATGGATACTTAATGCCTTTAAATTAAAAAAAATAAATTTGCGAGACATTTCACCCCACCCCTTCCCACTTTAATTTTTCAACCCTCAAATCCCCCTTAAAAACTGTAAGAAAAATCCAAAAAGGTTTGAAAAAATATACAAAGGTAGTAAAAGCAAAAAATAATTCAAAACAATCAAAAATAAAAAAGTTTTCCACTAATGGGTTCGAACCCACGACCCCCCAAAAACGACAACACAACACCATCCCACTACAACAAAAAACAAAAAAAAAGAAGAGAAACGGGAATAGTGGAAAAAAGAAACGAGAATACCGTATTTACTCTATTATAGCCCCCCTCTCAATTAGAGCCCCCCTCCTTAATAAAGCCCCCGTTTCGAGGATGGTTGAAAAATAGAGCCCCCCGTCTTTATTAGAGCCCCCCTCTTTAACAGAGCCCCCCTTTTTGTCAAATGTCAAATAAATAATTTAAGCAAAAATGTTGTTGCCGTTCCCCAGTCCCTCGTTATAGTCAGAGTCGCGCATGTTTCAATCATGTGTGAATAACAGTTTATAATAAATAGTTAAATCGTACGCAATTTTGTAATACTGTAGGGAGAGCTCTTCCATATAAGACTCGATGTATTGGCCAACTGATAACTCTTTTGATGAATGAAAAAGTGATTTCCCTTTGCATATTAATTTAGGACGTACTTGTAAGCACCAGGAACGAGAAAAATTACCGATTTCGTGAAACGAAATCGGGACGGCTGCTCTTTCCCTGATATTCACCAACTACTTTCCAATCGCTGTCTAAGGATAAGTTAGTCGAGATGTTAAGCTTACTATTAGATAATGGGTGGCTAATAACTGTGTTATTTCTCGGCCTGAGCTTAACCATTTTAAAATTTAACAAGATTATTAATGCTTGAACCATTTTCTATCTACTGATATAAAATTTATTATTTAATCCCTCATTAATTCCCAACCTGTTAACCCAATTAATAACTCATATCACTCCTGATCCTTGAAGCCCCTGATCTTCCAGATTACATTATTTCCTTCAGTCCTCACAAATTCCTAGATATACTTCGTACTCTACATTCCTCAACAATGGAATTCCAAAAATAATTGAACTAATTGAATGTTATCCTTTATCCAAAAAGTACATAAAACCCTAGCTTTATAACTTTTGGAGAAAAGAAAAACTGTTGCATGCATTATCATGCAATACCTATCTTGTTTTTGTGCTAAAATTACAATTGATCTTTAAAGTTAGAAAGTCTATAAATTGAATGAAAAACCTGTTCCTATTTTAAAAATAGGTTGAAAAATACAGCCCCCGTCTCTATTAGAGCCCCCCTCCTTAATATAGCCCCCGTTTGGAGGAAGGTTGAAAAATAGAGCCCCATGGGGCTCTAATAGAGTAAATACGGTAGTCTAAAAAAATCAAATAGAAAAACCTGAATATAAAAATCTAGAGAATTATCCAAAATACCAATTAAAGCCAAATTTATATTAAAATATATTTTTGCCATATCCGAATGTATTATTGACCCAATTTCCTTTTTTCTTTTATTTTCTATCCAATCAAAAGCCTCCCAATCCGAGACATAAAAATTTTGCATTATTGGGTGAATTAATATTGAAGTGCATATTTGGGCTGTTTTTTCATATTCTCCTTTAGATAATTGTGAAAAGGCTTCTTTAAATCGCTCTTTTAATTCTGCTTCCTTTAAAAAAATGTTTAAAATTAATTTTTTTAATTATAAAAAAATTTTTTCTAATATTTAAAAATTTTTTCGATTTTTTAAAAAGCAGCTGCTTCTACAAAAAACCCCCCGAGATCGATGCTCTAACCTATCTAAAATATTTCATTCAAAAATTATTTAACATTTTTTGTTCAATTAGGTCAAATATCCTTTGGGTCAATTTTTTAAAAAGCAGCTGCCTCGCCGAAAATTAGTCGGAGACCTTCCCAATTACGGAGAACAACCAAAATACGTAATAACCCCGAATAACCAGAAAAATTGGAAAAAATAATTTTAAAAAATTTGTGGATCAAATGTCCTTCATAAAAAACATAAAAAATTTTTTTAATAATCCAGCAATCAATTAAAAATTAGAATCCCAGAGGCCTTCCCAATACCAGGAACAACAAAATAATCTAATAACTCCAAATACCCAGAAAATGTTTGGTGAAAAATTATTTAAAAAATTTTTGTGGATCAAATGTCCACCACAAAAAACATAAAAATATTTTTCTCACTAATTCCGCAAGCAATTAAAAAATTAAAAAAATTAAAAAAACCTCAGATTCCCTCGACCTTTGATTATTTTCTTCCAAATCTGACCATTCATTTTCAACATAATTGGAAGAATTATTGCTAGAACAAGACAAATCAGACATTTCATCCTCGTCTTTTTCAAAATTCTTTTTAATAAAATATTTAAAATAAAAATTGTTTTTGGTTTCGAATGTAAATTTGGCAGTTATTTCTTCATTATTTGATAAATTTTTATTTGAATTTAGAGAAGATGAAGGAATATTTTGGTGGCATACTTCTTGGTCGTCGTTTGATGAGGAGGAAACTTTGAAAAAAATTTTTGTTTTGAAATTTTAAAAATTAAAAAATAAAGTTTATCCACGGAGAGGAAAAGAACCAAAGATTAAGCAGACAATTCATCCCAAAAATGTCTGGGATGAAATGTCATCATTTAAAAACCACGTTCAGATTTACTACCGAGCGACTCCCAAGCAGACAAAAACCTGCTTTCTCTTCCCTCGTATATTTTTTAAATCCCGCAATCAACTTAAAACCCTATCAGAAGAATCATACTTACAAATTTCCCCTTTAATAGGAGAATGGAGGACCCAGCCACTCAATGATACCGATTTTGAAGGCTCTTAACTATCCGAAAATGGCTCACTAGAAAAAAAGTAAAAAATTGGCAATAGGTGGCAAAGGTAGACCAGCAAAAACTGGCAAAGGTAGACCAAGCTCAATCAAGTTATACCAAAAAAAAGGAAATTAATACGTATAGTTTAATAGAGTCCCTTGTTGGAACGAAATCCCTTCCAAAAAGACCCCCCCCCCCAAAAAAAAATTAAAAAAAAACCAACTATCGCCAGAAGATTGTGAGTATGAAGAAGAAGGCTCTGATACATGAAAGCGCACTTTTTTCGAATCTTTTATTGAATTCTTTGAAGATCTTTTGTTGTTGGTTGAATTTTGAGGAGCACGATTGGTTAAAATTGGTGGAAAGACATTTCTTCGAACTTTGAATATTTTACGTTCTAATGATTTTCTAGATTGAATAAATGAAGTTTCTGGATCTCTCATCCTTTGTTAAAAATAAAAAAAAATTAAAAATAAATTTTAAAAAATAAAAAAAAATTAAAAAAAATAGAAACAAACAATAAAAATATTCCCTCACAATATTTTGCCAATAACACATTCTGCCAATAAGGCTAAAACAGGACATTTTGTCAACAAGCCTAGTGTGACAAAATGCGGGGTTTTAGCCTTATTGGCAAAATGTGTTATTGGCAAAATGTGTTATTGGCAAAATGTGTTATTGGTAAAATAAGGAAGAGACAAAATGTTTAATAACACTAAAATCTCTTATTTTGCATTATCTCTCGTTTTTGGATAAAATGTAAAAAATAAATAGAATGCCAAAGAATATTAAAAATGCGTTAATTCTGGTTTTAAGTTTATTTTTAAAATTCTGGTTTTTATTTTCTACTCTCTATCTCCCTCTCTTTCTGATTAGAATTTAAAAATCAGAAATTCTGAAAAATAAAAATCAGAATTTTTAAAA